GTTGTTGGGTCTATAGTAGCCCCTAGGACAAACTCCTCCATCTGGGCCACTTCCTGTAGTGGGGGAGGGTGACCCAGAGCTGGGTGTCCCAGCCCCCTGACCTCCCCAGCCCTCTGGGGTTGAGCTTTCTCCAGATTCTCAGGTTCTAGGTGTGGCAATGCTCCTTCCTGTCACAAAGTAAGTATGGAGGCAGGCGGGGTGTTTGTGGAAGGACAGACAGCTGACAGAAAGACTGGCAGGCTGATGGGGAAGGAAACACCGTTCATTGCACTCGGGCTACGCATTGTGTCGTGCTGCCTCCCCACACATTACTGACACAGCCTGTTGATAAGACGAAGTGTATTGTCTACCACGAGACGGGACAACACCTCTTCTCAAAGCTCTGGCAGTGTCTCAGAGCAGGGAGAAAAGGTCAATATTTGTTGAGAATTGAGAGTGTGTTTTGAGGCCGGCCGTTCAGTGAGGAGAGGGGGTGGGTGAGAGAGGCTGGACTAGGATTGGGTGAGAATCATGACCCCACAGTCCAGATTTGTTGGTGGAAACAGCAAGGGGGAGGATTTGGGGGTGCAGAGAGTCAAAGAATCGAGGGCGCACCCTCTGTCGATGGTTCCCCCTGAAGAGTCGATCCATCTTTCAGGAAGTTCCCATAAGAACAATCAAGCCATTGGCTTGGGCTGGTTAGTCTGGGAAGAGTAAAAAGAAAAAAGCCTAACGAAGACAGTGGAATTGCAGAGTCAAGCGAATGTAGACGGTAAGGTGTGGTTTGGGGCTTTTAGCGTCCGGGCCGCCCGTGGGGTGGAGGTTCTGGTCCTCTGCGCTGGAAAGCAGGGATTTCCGTCCTGCCATTGCCGATGAGGACACAGCAGGCTACTGGTCTAAGGCCAAGCAGAGGACTGCAGCTGGGGGTGCTCAGACTGGGGCAAGTGCCGCCAAAGCTAGTGAGTGTGCACGGAGGGAAGGGATCCAGGCCCTCAGGTCTGTGGTTGGCTGAGGCTTGGATGACAGGGCGAGAGATAACCCAGAGTCGGAAGGATGGTGCTGTCAGAGGGAGAAGTGACCTTGGAGGAGCCAGGTGTGCGTGGAAGGGGCTGGGTTCAGCTGGGCCTTGTAGCCTCGGAGGTACTTGAAGGTTCTTCAGGAAAGGGGAGGGCAGTGGTCCTCAGTGGGGCCAACTGGGAGCCAGGCCTGGGCCAGGCACCCTACATGCCTTTCTTCCTTGAGGTAGCTGCTGTATCCTCACCTTACAGATGAGGAAACAGGCTCAGAAAGACGGAGGGGCATGTCTAGGCTCACACAGCAGATGTAGGGAGCCAGGGTTCAGACCCGGCTCTGAGGACTTTGAAACCTACACTCAGCCCCACAGCTGTCTGGGATTTGCTGTTTGCAGCTGGGAGGTGGCTGGAGGAGGCAGGAGCCTTTCCAGCAAATAACAGGCAGAGAAAGGCGGCCCTCGCTGTCAGGCTGCTCTCTGAAACCTTGGCCTTCATCACCCTGGATGCAGCTGGTGTGGGGAAGGCCGACTCCTGCCCGTGGAGGGGTAGCTAGAGGCATACCCTCTGCCTCTCAGGCCTCCAGCGTCTCTGACTGAACTGGTAAACAAGGTCTCTAGCTGGGCAGACTTTCAGGGTGACTGGCCCACTTGCTGAGCAGCTGCAGGGCACGTGGCCAACCAAAAGCCACAACAGACAGGTCTCCTGAAAGACAGCCAGACCAACGACTTACCAGCTGCTGGACATGAGAGCATCTGTGTGAATCACTAGCCACGTAACCCACTGACGGGCACACAGACCCCTTGCCTGCCAGCTCTGGAGCTGTGGGCTCCCAGCCCTTGGAACCATCTGGTCTACCTGGGGCCCTAAAACTTGGTTGCCCACCTGGGAGAGAAAGGGGCTAAGAGGCTGGGATTTTTTCCTGGGGCCTGGCGCCCTGCCCCTCCTCTCACTCCCACAGGCCACCCAAGCCCCAGTCTACTCCCACAGCGGCCCCCTCTGCTGTCAGGACCAGAAGGATGGGAAGGGCCTCAGAGGCATCCTGTGAGGAGGGCACACAGCCCTGGACTCAGGACCCTGCTTCTAGGGGGAGTGCTATCACCAATCAGGGAGTCAGACTGTTTGCTGCCAGCCCCTCAGCAGAGGCCTCAGCCCACAGGAAGGGCTCAGGGATCTGACAAGCTGCCTGACCAGCCCCGGTCAGTGACCCACTCACCACCCAATGCACTGACAGCTGCTCTCAGAGCCCTGGGGCATGGGGCCAGGGCTTCCCTCCTCCACACGAGGCTGAGGCTGACGACTGGGCCATGGGAAGGTAGGAGGTTCTGAGCTGATCCACCGACTTTCTGTCCCCCTCTCTCACCCATCCTCTGGGTTTCTTTCAGAGTTGGGGCTCCAAGTCAGTGACTTCTGCCCTTCTAGCCTCAGCTCCAGCCCCATCACCTGGCTGGCCTGTCCCCTAGGTGGGTGGGCACTGTTGCCCTTCAGGTGACCTGGGTAGGTTTGGTTGGGCCAAGGCAGAGAAGAGCATTGTGGTTCTTCCCCTCATCAAACCTGTGCAAGGAGCACGAAGTGATGCTGAGGTTAACGCCCAGGCTTGAAGTCCTGCACCCATGTCAACCAGTCCACTGGTCACCTCTGACCCTCAGTGTCTTCATCTGAAGCACAGGGATGATAAAATAAGTGCCAAATAAAGCACCAAAGGCATGGAGTTGTGGAGAGGTCATGGGCATGTAGAGGATGCGCAGAAAGGCTCACCTGCATAGACAGCATGTAGCCCGGCATCTATGCTACAGTATGTGACCCGTCTCTGCTGGTGAGGGGACCTGGGGCTCAGACTGTGTCCCGTCAATCTCCTCTGGGTGAGCTCCTTCCCCTCCTCTTCTCCCTCAAAGTGAGTCCGGCCCACGCCCTTTACTAGCCCAACCCCTTGCTAGGTCAACCTCCCCTCCATCAGGTGTCGCTTTGGTTTCCATACCTCCTTGTTTCCTCTGAATGTTTATGCCCCCAAAAGGGACTCCTCGCCAGCCACACACACACTTGCATTTCCTCAGTCAAATTCCTCAAGCTATTTGAGTAGACAGTTCCACAAAGAAGATAGACAAATGGCCAATCAGCACACGAAAAGATGCTCAGCATCATTAGTTATTGGGGAAACCCAAGTCAAAACCACATGAGATATCACTTCACAGTCACTCTATGGCTATAACCAAAAAGACAGACAATAGGAAGTATTAGCAAGAATGGGGAGAAATTGGAACCATCATACACTGCTGGTGGGAGTATAAAGTGGTATAGCTGCTTTGGAAAACAGTTTGGCAGTTCCCCAAAAAGTTAAACATGGAGTTACCATATGACCCAGTTCCACTCCTGGCTGTCTACCCAAGAGAACTGAGAATGTATGTCTACATGAAACTTTGCATATGAATGTTCATAATGTCCATTAACAGATGAATGGATCAACAGAATGTGAGATATATATATGTATGTCCATCCATACAGTGGAATGCTATTCAGTCATAGAAAGCAGTGAAGTACTGAGACATGCTACCACATGGATGAACCTTCAAAACATTATGCTAAGTGAGAGAAGCCAGACACAAAAGGCCAAATTTGATTTGTATGAATTTATGTGAAATATCCAGAACAAGCAAACCCAGAGAGCCAGCAAAGAGATTAGTGGTTGCCAGGAGCTGGCGGAGGGAGGAGTGGGGAGTGACTGCCAATGGGTATAGGATTTCCAACTGGGGTGATGAAAGTGTTCTGGAATTAGAAAGGGGTGATGGTGTGTAACTTTTTGAATATACTAAAAATCCCTGAATTGTATACTTAAAAAGAGTGGATTTTATGGTATGTGCATTGTATCTCAACTGAAAAAAATCCCTCAGGCTCCCAGTTACCCTGTGTGAGGAGCACAAAACCTTCACTGTGGAGGCTCCAGGCCTCTTCAGCCCCTCCCAGAGTTTGCCTTCCAGGTCTGGAGATGGAGGGCGAGTCCCCACCCCCCTCCCTGGGTCAGAAGTGTCCTCAGGTCAGTTTTTAGGCTCCAGAAGGATCTTGTTGAATGGGGGGAAACTCCTGCCAGGTTGAGAGGCACACGAAACAATGGAGAAGGCTTCCGCAGGAAGCGGGGCCCCAGGAGGGGAGGAAGGCCAAGGAGATGCAGGTGGTTTCTAACTATGCAGAGGGGTGGAGACTCCCAAGGCTGGACTTTCAGGCTCCTCGCTCAGATTTGGTGTCAGGAGACCCTGGGAGATGCCTCTGAAGGGCCTCAGCTTTCCTCTCACTGCAGTGAGTGGCAGAGTGACATGGTTCCCGTGGTCACCATAGGAGAAAACCGGCAAGCGTAACTGGGGCCAAGGGTTCAGGTTCTGCCACAGCTCTGCCTCCTGAGTCATTGCCCAGCTTGGGACCTCAGTTTATCAGTGCAGGGAGTTAAATGGATGACCTCTGAGGGCCCTTTCTGTACTGACCAGCAACACAGCTTGATGGTGTGATTTGGGGCTTGGGCTGGTCGGCTCTGTGATTACACTCAGGGTGGTGCCGTTTGGGGTGTTGGTAGCTACCCCCGGGAAAAGCTTTTATGCCTGACTATAGACCAAGCCTTGACCCTGCACCTGGCCCCAGACCTCTGATCCTAGCCTAAGCCAGACAGACCCAGACTCAGCCTCCGGGAGCACAGATGTCTCACATGGACCCAGGGCTAAGGCTGTGCACCTTACCGCTGGGTCCACTGCTCAGAGTGTGTGTGACGGGTCAGCAGCTTCTGCCTAGGAGGAAGGAACAGAATGAAGGTGTGAAATAGGTGGTCCCCGTTAGGATCTGGCCAGCGTGGGCACATGGAGCACACACCCTCTTAGGAAGGACCCTTCTGCCGCCTGGGACTCAGGAAGGCTGAAGGTGCCTTGACTCAGATTCCCTCCAACCCCTGAAATACCCTAGGCTACCTGGGTCAGGACCATTCTCTGGGATTCCATCTCCGCTCTCACTCCCTGGCTGGCTGTCCCACAGGGCCGGTGAGTGAGGAGCCCCAGATGCCAGACAAGGACATCAAGGCCATGATGGGCACAGAAGACACACCTGGAGGCAAAGCCAGCCCAGACCCTCAGGACTCGCGGCCAAGTGTGTTCCACAGCATCAAGGTACCTCTGGGGTCTGGTAGAGGCAAGGCCATCCGAGTCCAGCAGAGCAGGATCTGCCACTTACTGGCTGTGTAACACCAAGCAAGTTGCTGCCTTTCTCTGAGCCTCAGTTTCCTCATCTGTAGAATGGGTGGCTCTGAGTGTCAAAGGACTTAGCTTGGTTTCTGGCACATGGAAGATGCCCAGCACATGTTCTCTCCCTCCAGAGAGGAAAAAGGGGCTGCCCTATGGGCAGTGGGAGACCAGTCTCCTTGCCTCCTGTTTCCATAGAAGGAAAGAGAAGGATCCCAGTGACCCTGCACCTGTATGAACACCAGGAGTTCTGGTTCTACCACAGGCAGCCCTAAACATCCCAGCACCCACTGGGTGCCAGGCCCTGGGCCAGGTGCTGTTCCCGCATGATCTTTTTTAATTCTACCAGTAACCCTGGGAGGTGGGGATGGGGACGTCATCCTTGTTGTCCAGATGAGCAAACGGAGACTCAGAAGAACAGAGTGAATGTTATTAAGCTCTGGCATAAACACTCTTTTTTAATTCCTTGAAGCAAGTTTTCCTTCTCTTAGGAAGTCTGCCCGTTTTTTAGGAGGAAGACTACAGGCGGGCGGGAATGTGTGGTTGGGAGGCCCAGTGGGGTGGCGTGGGCAGCCCGGAGATTCAGTCTGTGCAGGTGGTCTCCCAGAGAGCTCTAGGAGAAGACAAGGTTGGGGCTGGGAGGGAGAAGGATTTGGAATAGCTTCCTGGAGAAAGGGGAGGATGGTGGAACCGGGAGGGAGGTCCAGTCTAGCCCAGGGGAGCTCTGAGGGTCAGAGGGGCTCCTGCCATTTTCAGCCCCATGAAGACCCTGCTCTTAGTCATGTGGCTCTTGGGTAGCCCCCAGGCCCCAGAGTGTGCCCAAGACAGCTTTTCTAGCTTTTAGGCCTGTGGGAGAAGCCATGGGCTACTCTCATAACCTTCTCCCTCCCTCTGTCCCTCTCTCCTCTCCTTCCTCCCCTCTCTCTCCTCCTGTGCTTCTGTCTCCTCTGACTCTGTTTCTCCATCTCTATTCCTTGCTCTTCTCGTGGCCTCACGCTCCCTCTCTTCCCCCAACTCCTGTCTGGCTCCCCGCCTGTCTCCCCGTCCCTCTGCCCACTGCCGTCCCCACGGCCCCTCCGACAGGTCTTCGTCCTGTGCCACAGCCTGCTGCAGCTGGCGCAGCTCATGATCTCCGGCTACCTCAAGGGTTCCATCTCCACAGTGGAGAAACGCTTCGGCCTCTCCAGTCAGACTTCTGGGCTGCTGGCCGCCTTCAACGAGGTACGGGCCCTGGGCGCCGTCACGGTGGGGGAACGTCGAGAGAGCCTCACACCCACCTCTGCCCATCCTCCTCTCTCACTACCCTTCCCCTCCCAGTGCCCTCAGGCAACTCCCATCGCAGCTCTGCAGGGGGTGTCCTGGCCAGAGGCTGACCAGCCCTGTGTTAGGACAAGGTCCAGAGGAGACCTCTCCCTCCCTGTGCTGTCAGAGTGCCAGGCGCTCCTGCCCTCGGGGCCACCCTGTTGAGGGTGGTGGGGTATTTTAGATATGGCCGGGTCCCCACAGCCACCCACTCTCCCATTGGTTCCTTTACTTTTTCGGGCACCTGGCGGTGGGCTGTCCCAGGACGGAATCAGAGGGAGTCACTTCAACAGCAGTGAGGGAGGTTCACACTAGATCAGAGGCGGAAAGCTCAGACCTTGGGGCGGCGGGGGAGGGAGCAATACCATGGCATGTGTCGTCCTCAGAGCTGCCCAGCCATCCGCAGGCCTCTGCCCCTGGGCCAGCAGCCAAGCAGTGAGGAGTGGACAAGCCGCTTTGGGCGGATCTGGGGATCAGAGTCCAGCTACGTCCAGCCCCTCCCCCGCCAGATGTTTTCACCAGCCAAGAAGGCCACTGTCTAGAGAGCAGAGACCACCCTCCCCCACCCCCAGCAGATTTCTGTGAAGTTCTCTCCACCTTGGGTGATGTGTCACGTTGCTCCCAACCCAAGGCTTGCCAGCTACACAGAGTCCCCAGATGTTCCTCAGACCCCACCTCCAGAGCCCAGAGGTGGGAACGCAATGTCATTACCTAGCAAGTCACTCCCCATCCTCAGGCCTCGGTGCCCATCTATGAAATGGAGAGTGGCTGTTCTTCCCAGGGTCAGTCCTCCCACCGCCCCTCTGCTGGTCCTGCCCCACTCCACCAGCAGGGAGTCTGGGGCTCAGGGGTGAGGACTTGACTGGTCACCAGCCAGTAGGCACTGGAAAGGGGTGCACAGCCCAGCTTCTGACAGCAGAGCCTGCCCCTTCTCTGCAAGCCTTCAGGTCTCCTCCGAACCCAGCCCGGGATTTTGATTCTAAGTCTCAAAATTCCAAGCCTTAGTCCTCCGGCTTTAGAGTTTGTTCCTGTCATCCCTGCCATCCCAGAAACATTCATGCACCCCTTCCTTGATAGCCACCCCTCACGTTCTATCATGGGGTCCAACCCATGTTCCAGAATGAAATTGAACTTCTAGCCTTGTCTACTCTGCCTTCATTTCTCTCTCCTAAAGGGGTGGTGGAGCCCTTCCTAGGAGGACCCAGAATCTACATTTATAAGAGGGACCCAGATGATTCTTATTCAGCCAGCTTGTCCATTATACAGATGGGAACACTGAGAGTGGTGATGGAGACAAGGATGAGGCAGGCCACCGGTCCTGGGCTCTGCTCCACTTTAACGGGTCCCCTTGTCCTTTTGCAGGTGGGGAACACAGCCCTGATTGTGTTTGTGAGCTATTTTGGCAGCCGGGTGCATCGGCCCCGACTGATCGGCTGTGGGGCTATCCTTGTAGCCCTGGCGGGCCTGCTCATGGCTCTCCCACACTTCATTTCGGAGCCATACCGCTTCGACAACACCAGTCCTGGTAAGAGCGGGAGGGCTGGGCTGGAGGCAGACATGATCTACTGCATTACTGGGCACCAGGGCCCATCCCCAGGCTTCCATCAGTCAGGGTGGGCCCAGCTTCCCAGGACACTTGCTGGTCTTCCCCACCCTAGCTCCACAGCCTCCCTCAGTCCCAGCCCGGGTGGCCTCTGGCTCCTGGGCAGTAACATAGGGTATCGTCCTGGGGCAGAGGGGTGACGCCCAGAGGGTCGCAGTGAGGGCCTGCTTGTGTGTCACTGCTTTTTTTTGAAGTGGAGGTGAATTTACAACACAGCCTATTTTAGGGCCTAGCATGTGTAGGTCCCCAGGAAATGTTTGTGCAATAATAATAATAGTGTCACACACCACTTACTACACACCAGACACTGTTCTAAGCACTTTATGTGCGTTGATGCATTTAATCCTCACAAGAAGACGGGACGATGAAGAAAGAAAGAACGAATGAGTGGATGAACAAAAAGAAAATGAAAGGATTCTAGACAGGAATAGTGAAGCCCCTGTTCAGCCCAGTGGGATTTTGTTGGGGCTTACTTGACAGATGGCTGCCTGTCCCTCAGAGAACAATGCAAGCAGCCTGAGCATTCACTTCATTCCTTCCATCTCCCATCCACCCATTTACCCATCTACCTACCCATAAACCTACTCACCCACTCATCTATCTACCTGTATACCCAGCCATCCACCCATATACCTACTCACCCACTCATCTATCCACCTATACACCCACCCACCCACCCATTCACCCACTCATCTACCCACCCATCCACCCATCCATCCATCCATCCATCCATCCATCTGGTGGTCCACCCAACAAACCCTTAGGGCTGCCCACTTTGTGCCAGACTCTCTCCAGGGGACTCAGTCCTTGCCTCCAGAGAGTTCCCAGTCTGGGAGACAGAGACAACAAAAACCCCCCAGTGAGTCAACTGTGTGAGGAGGGAAGCACAGGGGCCTAAGGAGCCCAGGGAAGGAGACCACGCCCTAGCCTGGCATCATAGAAGTCTTCCCATGGGGAGAGGGGTGTCAGAGAGCATCCTCCCTCCCTTCCACTCCCGTCAGCTAATACCCTGGAGCCCCCACTCCATGCCAGGACCAGGGGCGGAAAGATGGAGCAGATAGGACCAGCCCTGAGAAGCTCCCAGGGGAGTACAGGTTGGAGTGAGCATGGGCAACTCTGCCACAGGGTAGGGTAGAGTCCAGCACCTTGGGAGACGGCCAGAGGGAGCTGGTAGAGCCCGGAGTAGGGGAAGGACTCTCAAGGCTGGAGGGAGCTGGAGGAGGTGTCATCTGAGCAGCAGTGTAGGGAGAAGGTGGGCATTTCACGTGGAGGGAGCTGCATGGCAACGGTGGGGAAGTGGGGAGGTTTGGAGGGTGTGTGAAGGCGAGGTGGTTATCCAGGCTGAGTCAAGAGGCCTGACTGGAATGCTGAAAAACAATGCTTCCTCTCATTTCTGTGTCCAGAACGTTCACTTGAACAGAGGTTTTTCTGTGCAGGGTCACAAACGGTCTTCTCTATCCTCACTATCATACAACACCCTTCTGTCGTAGGCTCCCCGTGAAACCCTGGGCAAAGCCCTTCTCCTGGCTGAGCCTCAGTCTCCACATCTGAGCGATAAGTAGACTAGACTCGGTGCCTCCAAGCACCCATCCTGCTCTGACATTCCAGGCTATTTCACTCACTCATTCTCCGCCCAGTGTTAAATAATTTACTTATTAATGCTTGTGTGCCAGGCCCTCTGCTATGCACTGAGGACACGAGTGGAAAACGAAGCCAGAGCATTATAACAACCATCGCCTCTGATGTTGGGCAGGCGCCGTGTGCAGGCCCCACTCACCACTCTTCACGTCCATGACCCTATGAGGCAGGTGTCCTCATTATCCTATTTTACAAGTCAGGAAACTGAGGCTCAGAGAGGGAAGGCCTCCCCAAGGCCCACAGCTAGGGGAACCAGAACATGCCCGGGTGTTGTAGCTCTAGAACCGCTGCTCTGAACGACTGAACTATTTTGCTTCTGAATTCTGTACTTCTGGAGAACTTCCACCCTAGGGGACTTGTATGAGAGATGAGGAAACCGAGATGCAGAGGGGCTGAGGGCCTCTGTCAAAGCCTCACGGTCTTCAACCCAGGCCACCTCGGTTGAAGGTCCAGGTCCTTGACCTTGGGCCACATGGCTTTTTCCAGAGGGTGGACACGGGTCAGAGCCCTAGCTCCTGGAAAGGGCTGGGCGGGCCGCAGAAAGACGGCCACTTCTCCACCCGCATTTGGGATAATAATAGCGTGAGGGTCTCCTGAAGTTTGTTCACCAAATATTGGTGAGCTACGAGAACGAATGTCTGGCACTATATTAAGAAATTCCCCTTTGCTGCGCTCTGCAGCTGCGTCCTGAGCTGACACGGAGCACTCCCCAGAAGGAAGGCCAAGGGCACTATAGCACACCACAGGCCAGGCCCAGCAGCCCTCCCTGGCCCAGTCCTGTCCCTCCGACGCTGAACTTAGGCCCATGGGTTTGCACGTGCAGTGACCTCCCCCGGAACACGGCTCCCAGCCTCTTTCGGGAAAGTCTTGTTTGTTCTTCTAAACCCAGTTCAAACTCTACCTCCATGGACGGCCCCACCCCACCCAAGAGCCGCCGCGGCCATGGCACTTCCACATACCTCTGCCAGAAAGGTGGCATAGGGACCTTTAAGAGCGTGGACTCAAAGCTGGACCTCCTGGGTTCCCGTCCTAGCTCTACCCTCGCTAGCTGCTGCCTGAGCATCAGTTTTCTCACCTGTGAAGTGGGAGTAATGAGAGCACCCATCCCCTAGGTTTGTTGCAGTGGCGGGGGTGGGGAGGCTCCAAATGATTTATACACGCATCACGTAGAACAGTACTTCTCATCTGGTAAGTGCTACATAAGCTTAGCTATGGCCATAATATTTTTTATCCTCTCTCAGCGGACATGCCGCAGGATTCCGAGGCTTCCCTGTGCCTGCCCTCAACCTCTGCCCGGGCCCCAGCCTCCTCCAACAGCAGCTGCTCAAGCCACACGCAGGCCCAGCATCTGGTCGCGGTGGGGATCATGTTCACGGCACAGACCGTGCTCGGCGTGGGCGGGGTGCCCATTCAGCCCTTCGGCATCTCCTACATTGATGACTTTGCCCACAACAGCAACTCGCCCCTCTACCTTGGTGAGGACAGGTCCCAGCCCTCGGGCTCTGAGGGAGGGCCAGCCTCAGGTAGGAGGATGAGAGGCCCACGTCGGGGCTGGGCACAAGTCCCTGACCTCTGCCCCATGTGGCCAGTAGAGGTCTGGAGAAGCCCTGGAGGGGAGACGGCCTGCTCTTGCCCTTTGGAGACTGGGCAGGCACTGACCTGCGGGGGGAAGCCAGGGCAGAGGGGCCTGACCTCGGCTTTGTGTTGCAGGCATCCTGTTTGCAGTGACCATGTTGGGACCAGGCATGGCCTACGGGCTGGGCGGCCTCATGCTACGCCTTTATGTGGACATTAACCGAATGCCAGAAGGTGAGCCTCAAGAGCACACAGTTGTCCCAGGGGCGCACAGACTGTACTAACTGACCACTGGTCTCATGGGAGACATGGAGCCAGGGGACCTGGGTTCAAATCCCAGCAATCCCACTGAGCTTAGACACGCCTTTTAACCTCCCAGAGCCTTAACTTTCCCATCTTTGAGATGCACTCTGTCTTGTCCACCTCCCAAAGCTGCAATCTGCGTCCAATGAGATGATGGAGAGAAGCTGTAAAGCGCCATCTGATGGGAGCTGTGGTTGTTGTCACTGCCATTATTATGAGCCTTCATCTTGTTCCATCCCTGAGCCCCACCCAGACCCCCTGGTGCGTGCTCAGATACACTGTGGGGCAGACAGGGTCACATACTCTCTTGGCCTGTAGGGAATTCCCATCTTTAGGAGGATCAAGACCCAGGTGAAACAGGGAAGACACTGGCAGGCAGGAGAGAACTTTGGAGCAGGACTCAGTTACCTTGGGCCTCTCTCAGATGGGAAATCTACTGGGTGACCTCTAAGGACCCTTCTAGTGCTGACCACCTCAGAGTCTGGAAACCTGGGCTGAGAGCGCCATTTGGGAAACAGCGGTCTCTGATCCAGGTGGTGGTCACGGTAGGCCAAGGAGTAGGACTGAAGCTTGGTCCGAAGGCAGCCAGGAGGGAGGAACGTTGGAGGTCCCAGAGCTCTGGCGCCCTCTGGGGAGTCGGAGGGGATTCCTTTTAGACCAGGTCACTGTGGCATCTCAGCTTTCTGCTTGTCACACCTAGCAGCTCTGAGCCCCTATCTATGCCTTCGGCTTCCTGCTCCTCAGAAGTCCCATCCCTCACCTGGAGATTTTCCAGCCAGCCCTAGAAATCTCAGGTGACACCTGTACAGATAGATGGACATGCAGATTCTGCTTCTTGATCTCCGGTTTTTGGCCAAGGACAGGTCTGGGCAGCTCTGAACAAGAGTCACAAGGGACAGCCCTGCCCCAAGCATCCTTCCTTCTAGAAAGGTGGGCCCAGGAGCCCAGTGTGAGCTCTGGTTGCAGCTCCACTCTCCCTTGAAGGAAAAGTCCTGGCAGTCAGGGCTTCCCTAAGTAAGTTTCCCAGACACACCCAGCTAGGGGAAGGGATGTGTTTGGCTCTGTTGATATCATCCTGGCATATGTGACACCTCCACAGGCAGATGTGGCATCCTTATGGATCGATGTGCCACCACCCTAGTCCTTCTTTCTCTATGGGGAATTTCATGGGGTTGGCAGCTCATGTCCACTGTAGGTGCAGACTGGTATGAGAAGCGGGGGAGTTGGGGAGACACATGCGTGAGCTCTCCCCAGGCTGGCACAGAAGCAAGGGGAATAATAGGTGGGGGAGGGAATCAGTGCAAAAGCCAGCTCCACCCCAGCTTTACAGATACGTTTGCTGAGTGCCAACTGTGTACTCTGGCCCCTGGCCAGAAGGAGCTCAGGATCGAGCCTGGTAACTGGCCCCACCGGCTCCACTCTGGGTTGGTACCATTACGCATCTGAACTGTTACAAAGTGTTTGCAGTTGCCCTGGCGACTGAAGGAGGCGGTAGCCCCCTCAGCCTTGGGGTCAACAGGTTTGATGGGAGATGCAGGCCCTCCAGCCAGGAGGTACATCTGGGGTAATCTGGTTCTAATGACACCTGGTAGGGGACCAAAATCACCTAGGGAACTTGTGAAAGGTACAGATTCTTTGGTCACCTTCCCACCCCACCCTGTGTTGGTTCTAAGTTGGTCTTGGGTAAGGTCAGATATTTCCGACAAGCACCTCTGGTGATTTTAATCATCACGCAGGTCTGAGAACCACAAGGGTAGTCCCAACCATCAATTTAATAATAATCAGCACTACCATGACGGTAAATGAAGAAGAGCCAACGCCTAGACAGCAAGTTCCATGTGCCAGCACTATTGTAAGGGCTTTGCGTGGTCTAGTTTCTATGATTCTCACAACAACCCTCTGATGAATGTATACTAATATCTGTATTTTACAGAGGAAGAAGCTGAGGCACAAGGCGGTTAAGTAACTTGCCCAGGGTTAGGTTAGTAGTGGAATTCAGACCCAACAGTTCATTTCTAAAGTCCATGGCCTTGCCCACTACACACAGTTCATTAGTGGTTGAAAAAGCCAAGGCCCGGAAAGGGTTAGAGACTTGCCCAAGGTCACACAGGACATAACTGGCAGAGCCACGAGTGGAGCCCAGGTCTCCTGATTCCTGGCCCAGGCCATGTCATATCTCAGAGGCCAGCCCCAGAGTGGTGGCCAAGAAGTGATGACCCATCCTGATCCTAACATCCCCATGGTCTTCTCTTCCAGGAGGTATCAACCTGACATCGAAGGACCCCCGATGGGTGGGTGCCTGGTGGCTGGGCTTCCTCATCTCGGCTGGAGTCGTGGCCCTGGCTGCCATCCCCTACTTCTTCTTCCCCAGAGAGATGCCCAAGGAGAAACACGAGCTTCGCTTCCGGCGAAGGGTCTTGGCAGTTTCAGCCTCACCTGTCAGCAAAGTAAGCCCCCTCCAGGTCCTTATCCTAGTCCAGGCTCCAGCCCCCAACACTTGTCCTCCTCTGTGACGTTAACCCTCATCCCTCCGGGGCACTGCACTTCACAGCTTACAGAGCCATTGCCTCCCTCAACATCCCTGCACAGTGAGTATGTCCTGCCCCCTCCACAGCTGAGGGGATCCAGGCCCAGAGGTGGAAGTGACCTACCCAAGATCACAAGGCCAGCAAGGGCCGTGCTGGGACGAGAACCCAAGCCTGCCTGAGCCCATGCTCCTCGCTCTAACCACTACACTACTGCCTCTCTGCTTGTCACTTCAAGTTTTCCGTACGCTCTGAACACGCTGTAGCAATGTTGAGAAGTGGGAGGGGGAGGGTGTGCGGAGGGTCTGGGAAGAGCCGAGGAGGGGTTTAAGCTGGACTTTGCAGGATGTTGGGAAGCACAGAAAGCAGGTGGGGGCGCATTCTAGGTGTGAAAACAGCTTGGGTAAAGGATGTGGTTGTAGGAATGAATCTGGCCTTTTCAGGGACAGTGAGGGGACAAACAAGTACTGAGTGCCTCCCTGGCCAGCCATCGGGACACTGGAGCTCAGTACATCATCTCTACCCTTAAAACAGGCACAGCCTAGTGAGGACAAAGACTCATTGACAAGTAACAACTGGCGAGGTACTCACTGAATCCCCTGCTCGGCTCGTGGGGTAGGTGGTCTTTCCTCAAGGAGGACACTGTGGCCCAGCAGGTGCAGGGAGGTGCCCAAGGTCACAGCTGGCAAGAGAGGGCAAGACCATTTGAGCCACTGGGCAGGAGACATGGTCCTGGGCCAGGGGTCTCCAAGTTTTCCAGGGGCCCACAAAAACACGAGGCCTGAAAAACAATAAATTGGCTCTGAAATATAAAAGAAGATGACAAAATAGAAATGTTTTACACAAGTTCAATGTTATGTCAACTTCATTAATTTTTCTCTAACACTCATACACATTTTATTACATTATGAAAATTTACGCATTAGATTTTCTCTTCCCAAGTATGGGAGTGTAAAGGAAACATACTCTTGTGTTTCTCTTTTACTCACACACAGTATTTCACACCAGATGTGTGGGATTATTCCCACATTGAACAAGTCCCTGCAATGTGTCCTACAGTTTATCTCCCTTCTGATGCCATCGACACGGTAATAGCATCAGATCCAGAGGGTAAGGGCTCAGTCCTGCGAGACTGCCCCTGCTTCAGACGCCAATCACAAGTAATGGGTCCCCTGGTTACCCATAACTTCTGTCCAACTTGGCTACAAATCCGAGGTCCCCCAAACCACCTCCTTGGATTCCATTATTTGCTAGAAAAGCTCACAGAACTCAGGGAAACATTTACTTATGTTTGCAAGTTAGCAATATAAGAAGGGATTTGATAAAGGTTACAGATGAAGAGATACATAGGGCGAGGTCTGGGAGAGTCCCAAGCACAGAAGCTTCTGTCCCCATGCAGTTGGGGTGCGTCATCCTCCTGGCACATGCATATGTTCACCAACCTGGAAGCTCCCCAAATCCCATACTATTGGGGTTCTTATGGAGGCTTCCTCACATAGGCATGATCGATCATTAACTCCATTCCAGCCCCTCTCCCCTCTCTGGAGAATGAGGGATGGGGCTGAAATCTCCAAGCATCTAATCATGGCTTGGTCTTTCTGGTGACTAGCCCCCATCCAGGAGGCACCCAGAGTCACCTCATTAGAACAAAAGATGTTCCTCTCACCCAGGAAATTCCAAGGGATTTAGGAGCTCAGTGTTAGACGCTCCTCCCACTCAGGAAATTACAAGGATCTTATGAGCCCTGTGTCAGGAACCGGCAGGAGACAGATATATACATATATAAATTTCTTATCATTTCACAAGGAGGTAATTGTTGAGAAATCACAGACAATCATAAATTAAGTAAGCTAGTTGTTGCTGAGTAATTCTAATTTCAAAGGGACAATTTATAAAAATCCTGTCGAATATTTTGCAGCAAGAATAATTCTATTTAACGGCAGGTTGGTGTATTTGAATATGTTTGCTATGATGTGAGAAAGGGCCTCCTTCTTAGAGCAAGAGAGTTTGGGCCTCGCAGGAAGGGCTGAAAATGTCTCTGCCTAGAAAAGCTGGGGTTTGAACCCATGTCTGTCTGACCCCAGACCCAGCTGCCTCACAAACCTCACCAGCCTATCTCCCCGCTGGAGCAGAGGAAATGTCCATGGGGGAACCAGAGAAAAATGATGTTGGAACAGCCAGCAGGGGCCAGAATAGGAAAAACTTGCCTGCCAGCCTCAAGAGCAGTGGGTAGCCCAGGAAGAAGGGTAAGAAGGGGGTCCCGGGGCTCTATCCCCAGGGGCTAGGCAGAGAAAGGACGGCGAGGGACAAGAGGAATGTGCAGAGAGCAGCTGGGGGCAGGGAGACCAATGTGGCAGGTATGGCTATGTCCAGGCAGGAGCCAGCACGTTGGCAGTGAGGCGGGGCGTTGGGATGAGTCCAGGAACCAGCCAGGAGGGGAAGCGCGCAGAACTGGGTGCTGCTCTGCTGTGGGATGTCCCAGAGACGGTGAAGGGCTGGGCTGATGCTGGCTCAGAGGCGGGAGGAGGGAGGCGCTGGAGAGGGACCAATTTCAGGGAAAGAAGAAGACAGCTTGGAACCACAGATGGTCCTTCCCGGTTCTGCCTATCTCAGGCCAAAATTTGAATGAGCTGGAATTCCTGGAACTTGGGGAAGAGTTCTTAGAAGTGGGGGTGATCATGGAGGAGGGGAAGAGCAACTGGGTTGCTGGTTATGGATAATCTCCAAGTCACGTCCTAAATTTGAACAGAGAAGAACAGCCACTTGGGCCTTGGAGTTCAATCAGTGGAAGAAGCCAGGATGAGACTTGTCTATGCTGAGCTCGGTCACATGTCAGCCGTGTGACCTTGAGCAAGTCACATCCCCATTCCATCCTGTTGTGCAAGATGCTGAGGTTAGATTCCTGGAGCAATGTGCTGTGTGCCTCAGATTCCGAGAATGCACAGTCCCTTGAGTTGAAGCTGCTGTGATGCAGAGATTCTGATTTTAAGACCTGTGTCTCTGTGATGCCTTGAAACCCTGGCTCCCCGGCTGTGAACCTGTCTGGCTGTCTGGATTCATTCTGTCAGCACACTGGGGATGAGGAGTGGGGAGGGAAGGGGGTGAGAGGTTCTTAAAAAAGAACTGAAGGCTGAGAACATGATGATCTGCTTCCAGCAGCTCTCAGGCGATAAATATTGATGTGGGAGGAACCGTCCCCGCCTCCTTGAGGCCGCCTCGGCTGGGTCTGCCTGCAGTTATACTGGCTGGCCCATCCCATTGAGGCCACTCACGGGGAGGTGGATGGACCAGGAGGAAGAGCCAATTAGGCAGAAAGTCCAGGTGCCCAGACATGGGATGTGTATCTTCTGCAGGGAGAGGGAACGGGCAGGGGGAGAAAGGAAAGGGAGAGCTATTTCTGAAATCCCTTCCAACACCCCCTCCCAGCTCAGGGGTCCCCTAATACCCTCCTAGAAGTAAATGCAGTTTTTCATGGTATCCAGGAGATGGTGGTATGTAATACAAGGATTGTGTGACCCAGAGAAGGGCTCTGGCCTCAGTCTACCTTATCTGTACAATGGGCAGAAGGTTGGACAAGGTCTGTCAGCTCTTACAGGTTCAGTGATGCTTCTCTACATGGCTCCCCATCTCTGGAGCAGTACACAAGCACTTGCACTGGGGGACACAGGGGTGCATCCCACACCCCCGCCCCAAGGCACTCTCAGATGGTGAAGGAAGGTCAGAGGCAGGCGATGGAGGATGACTGAATAACAGCTCCGGTTTCTCCCGTGTCCAGTGCTTAGGATTCTCAGCCTGGTGCAGGTGGGGAGGGGGGCACGTTAACAGTCTCCACAGAGAAGATTCGGAGATGCGGATGGGGAGGCCATACCTGGCACAGGAGGGGCAGGAGCTCCGCTTTCCCGCCTTTGGCTCTGCCCTGTATCTGTGACCTCAGAGCTCAGAGGGCCACCCAGACATCCTTGCAGGAGTGAACAGGGCAGGTCTCACCTCTCTTTAGGCCTCAGTCTCCCCATCTACACTCAGCCGATCTCTAAGGTCCTGTCAGGCCCCAGGACTCCTGGCCAATGGCTCTGCAGAGCCCCTGGAGTAGTGATGGTCTCTTAGGGGCTCCCTAACCCGTCATCTGGCCCCAGCTGCCCTTGTGGTGCTGGGACCCCATTTAGCCGGCAACCCCCCGTGCCCTCCAAGCCTTCATGTCCTTCTTGGGGCTGGGCCAGGGCTGGGAAGGCCTCATCCATCCAGATCCCCCGTCCCTGCCCAGCTTCTGAGCACCACCGGCTCCTCTCCCCTCCCATGGTTCATGTTTCCCAGGAGTCCACGTGTCTCTTATTCTGGGGTGTCTGCTGGAGTCTGGGTTCTAAGATTATACAGTTTTAAAGTTCTGTGTTTCTGATAGTTGGAGATTCTCAAGTACTTGTGTTCTATGGTTCTAAGATTCTATGCCTGTGACTCCCAGAATTCACCTTTCTAAATGGTTACAATTTTGGCCTAAGAATCTATGAAATCCACTGTCTCCCCGGCATTATCCTTGATGTGCTGCTTTGGGAGGATGGTCACAGATGGTGACAGGAGTGGGCAATGGCAGTGGCGCTTAAACCCAGGACTTGAGGCTGGTCTATTGGGGTCTGCCCAGCTGGCAGTTCCCCTGGGACTCTCTGCCCCCTCTGCAGTCCTGTGAAGTCGGAGGGGACACAGGTCCTCCTTACGCCCCGTGCCTCTCCCTCGCAGGCGCTGCCTCCAGTCCCCTCCTCGCAGGCTGGGAGCTCTCCTGTGTTCTTCCCTTTCCCCACAACCCAGGCCTTGTGACTCCACCCTCACCCCACCTCGACTCTCTAAGGTAGAAGGTCCTGAGTGATTATCTGGTTTACCTTCTCTCCAGCTTACAGGTGGAGGGATTGAGGCCCAGAGAGGGTCAAGGTTGT